ATGCAACAAAAAATTGCTTACGCAATGTTCAAAGGACGCGGAGAAGTTCGTCAATGCGTTGGAATGGTCCGTTTGAATCGCTCAATGAAATCACTTGGATGAGAGAAGCTCAAATTAGGGAAGAATGGAGAAGGTGCCATCTGCATTAACAGCGAGGAAAGCGATGATAAAACAACAGTTGGCAAAATTAGGAAAGCACCAATTTCTATCAGAGTTCATTAAATTTGTTACAGCCCTATCCATCATCAGCGTCATCATCGATAAATACAGCGGAGATATCAGTAGCAACACCGTCAACATGGCCAACACAATGGTCAAACCCGTTGAATTTTTGCGCACTTCAGCATTTTCCGGCATTGCCATATCGGCCACATCATCCCGGCCAGGGTACACTTTTTTCCAAAAATTATCATTGCTTATTAACATTCGTTTTAACAATAAACTGATACTGACATATGTCAATGAATGAAAATACCACCAGACAGCTTCCATTTAACAAGACAGAATTGAAAATTATAGATATGTTCATTTATTTCCTTTGACGCATCTATATTCAAGTCATAATATGTGCATTTTATATTTGTTATTAGCAGTCTTCTCAGTATGGCTTCCACTTTCGAAGATTGCTTAGAAGCAAGCTGATGGCAGGTTTGATTCTCTGACATATGCCAGTGCATGGAAATGAATATACGAAATGTAAAGGGACTGGGTGTCCAATTGAAGGGGTTGAACTCTCCACCTTCGAGAGTAGCTCTAATTGCCTAATGAGAAATGAGGAACTACCATAAATTTTGTCTCATTTCCGAGCAGTTTCTCTGCGCCATCATTTTTCGGTAAGCGATAGAACGTCTAGCTTTTCTACGTTCACACCAAAATGGATAAAATCTTATGTCTAATTCCGAGTTCACCGAATAATGCCAAAATCATCAGATTTTTTTTAATTGCAGGTGTTTTCCCGTTTGCTGTGGGCTATCCGATGAGCACTTCTGTGATGTACACAAAGCCACCATTCTTCAGGATAACTGAAGGTTCGTTATATGCTTTTTGTTTAATGCGTCTTCCTCATACCTTCTTTTCAGCTTTGCAAAATTCTAAGATTTTTAAGCAATTTCATCAAATTAAAAATTTGAACTTTCACAGAAATCGAAATTCAGGAAAAATCAAAATTCGCATGTTTTGGAGAAACCGTTTGAATTACAGGCTTCCCAGCTGCAAATCCTCCAATAATACATGCATACACGGAAAATATGACGCATCCGGCACCTTCTTTCCCCTCAAGTGCCCTGGTACCAATGCTACCACCACCAGCTCAAACAAATCCGCTGGACTGTCGACGACGCGTCAGAACATCCAACTCGAACGACGAATTAGCTGAAGACTAGCACCGAAGTTCCACGCTGTACATGCAAATTTAATCAAAGGCTGTGCCAGTTTTTATGCGTTTTTGCATATATGCAAGCGCAAAAACGCATACTGTGACGAGTCCGGTGTGTGTATGTGTCTGTTCGAGTATTTCATCTCGGCAGTCAAGCAAGTTCCCGCGCTGAAATTTTGCAAATGGATTCCCCTGCGAAGAGTTACCCCAGAACCGCGGTATCAACCCTCATGCACGTCTGGGTCCCGCGTACGACTAAATGGAAGTTTTGGTGGAAAACTGCTGACCCGAACACCAGAAAAGCCGGGAGGCTGAAATATTCAGCGGATGTTCCCAGCCCACATACGAATTAAAGATTTCAAATTTAGCTCCCAGTTACGCGTAATGCTCACTTGCGACTCCGCAAAAGTTTTTGGCGGAAAAGTCACCCGCTCGGGAACCAGAAAAGCTGAAGAGCTGAAATTTTGAGGGAATGTTTCCTGTCCAGTAAAACTCGAAGATTTTAAGTTCAGCTTCCAGGACCGTCTGATTATCACAAACAACCCAGGATTTTTTAACAAGAATCGCTGACTCCGGAATCAGAAAAGTTGGGAGCTGAAATTTTAGTATGCAGTACTTGGACAGGGAATGTTCTCTGTCTAAGTACTGCGTAGTTGCACAATTAGCTTTCCGAACGTCGAGGACCAATATGTCACAATTTCTGGCTACTGGGTTTCCCAGCGATGTCATTACAGCACGAAATACTGCAAAAACGCACGATTGCACCGGCCTGCCTGGTGCGCGTCGCAAATGATTTCATCAGAAACTTCATGAGTGAAAGCGTTGATGATACTAGAACTTGGCATACTGTAATACATCCATATTCTAACAAAGATGGTGACATCGCCTAAGTAGTTTCAATCGTTTCCTACCTGATTTTAGTTCACTTGTGTGGTGTTTTTACGCTTTCTCCTCGAACTCATTCTCCATAAACCTTCTCAGTCAAACAATTTTCACATTCCAGCAAGGGAGGATGTTAAGTGTTAATCATTATAAACCATATTCTTCCCGGGAACATTGCTGTATCATATAAATAATCCATGAATGGTGGAAAACTTATCACCAATAAAGTAATGTAACTCCCCTACAAAAAATAGTAGTTTTTCAAGCAAAAATTTCAAAAACAAACCAAATTTTCCGGAAAAATTGTTTTCACTTGAGGGTTTTTTGCATCGGGGATGTAAAAACACCAAATTTTTTTCGCTTCGAAATATTAGTTTGTTGTGAAACAGCGCGTAAAAAAAACGAAATTTAACTGTAAAAAGGATACAGAAAAAGGCAAAACTATATATTTAATAAGCTTGAGGAAGGAATAAATACATAAATTACAAAATAACAAATTATCAACGTCGAGGCGCAACAAATTATCATTCTTGAAGCCTGTGAGTCTATCTGTCTCGAAATGATAGTGCCTTGTTCAGAATTTACCACGTTGCCAGCTCGGCTTCATACTCCGCTTCCTCAAAAAACGGCTTATCGATTGAGCTGAAAAATGCTTTAAAAAAATCCGCAAAATCACACGTGAAACTGCCACCAGCATGCGTCTCAGACAGTCCTAATAGAGAAGATACCCTCAGTTATCAAATGAACCACGCACCTCAAAATGCCTCCTTCAAAAACGATGTGAGGGAAGTTTTAACCGGAATACGGCTTGAGGTAGTAGAGCAAAAGCAACTTACTCAATCATCATGTTGCCACAAAGAATGCAGTCACCAGCAACTGCACCATTAATTTCATTTTGTACATTTGCGAGATTTTCTCGGTATTCTGAAATATTCCGGCTAAAAATAGGTTTTTCAGGGAATGTAAAAATTGATAGTTCCCCTCCCTCCCCCCCCGTCTTACTCCAATAATCTTCACAGTTTCCACACATTAAGTATGAAATTTTTTTGGTCAATACCAGTATGAAATTTTTAGTTAGTTCTAAAAATGATTAGCAAGGATGATGCTCATAAAGTTTTCTTGTTGAATATGTAGCAGTTGTTTTCTACATTAACATTTGCTCTTTCTAGTTATAAATGTGAACAAGTTTACAGCTCCGGTTTTTCCACATTTCTCATTTTCC